TCCCAGTGCTGAGCAGAAGTGGAGAAGGTGGTGGGCAGAGACAATGGACCCTGTTAGGTTGCTGGCCATCCAGCCTGGCCAGTTCCCTGAGCTCCATTTGCAGTGAGAAAATAAGGTGGAGAGTGATTGAGGAAGCCTAATGTGGACCTCTGGCTTCCAAATAGATACCCCTACACATGCATGCATACCCCATGCATACACATGAACTTGTACACACAAAGACACACAAAAATTGTCTTTTAAACCTACCAAGTATTGAAATTCCTAATTAGCTTCTTGCTGCTATTTACTTTTAGTTCTTTTTTTTCCCCGAGTTTTTATGTGTTTAATAGATACTTGTGGACTGCTCTGTTGCAAATGCTATGATCGTCTGAGTTATGATCCTCTAGGAAGGGTGCTATACAAGTGTATCAAAGGTTCTTACAAAGCATGACTGGGTGCTGTTAAAAGTGAATGTGCAGGGATTGGACGGCCTGGGAGAGGGTATGCTCCCTGGCTACATGCATCCTGCTGCAGGCGAGTGCTCTGTCCCAGTGGCATTATTTTCTCAAAGATACGCATCTAACCTCACAAAACTGATAAGAATTTGTCAGGGTAGTATCTGTCTTCTTTCTTCCATCTGACTATCATGTCCCACTCACAGCTAGAGCCGCAGCACTGCAGAAATAGTCCATTGCTGACACATACACCCCACCTGCAGCTTATATTATCCTCTGGTGCTTTTAATCAGTCTTGCTAAATGCTTCCTGTAGGGAAAATGAGTAGTGATGAGAAATAATCGTGCTGCTGCTTTCTTGAAAAATTCAGTGACTGATTTACAGATATTGCTTATTCATCATGATATCCTATTGCAGAAGATGGGAATTAAATTTCAGCCTTAAAGGTTATGGGATCCCTCAAGGCCTGGAGTATACTAATGAAAAATTGAGAACCCGAATAAGAGATTCAAGAATCTGCATAGTGAATAAACTTCTATCAAATCTCACTTCTGATGTGAATTTAAGACTACGTGGATGGGAATATGCCAACATATTTCTCTTTAGTTTAAAACAAACTGACTTTAGTTTTCCTGAGGTCATAAATAGTCAATAGGCCTTACCCAGCTGGACTGGAATAAGCTTCCTTGTAAGAACTATTACACACGTGCAGTAGCTGTTTCCTTAACTCAATACCTCGAAGCTGACTCTTTGACAAGTGAATTGCTTGTAAGATACACAAAAAAAATATTTTTTAAATCTACCAAATATTGGAACCACTCTTCAGATAAAGAAGTACTGTTTTTAGGAATTAAATTATGTTAATCCGGCCTCCTAATTAGCTTCTTGCCACTGTTATTTAGCTTTGGTGTTGTTTTTTTATTATGTTTTCATATGCTCAGTAAATACTTGTGGACTATTCTATTGAAAACACTTTTATTGTCTGAGTTATTAGCCTCTGGGAAGAGATACAAGTGTATCAAAGGATCTTACAAAGCATGACTGGCTGCTATTAGAAGTAAATGTTCAGAGCTTTGGATGCCCTCTTTCCTCTGAAGATAAATTCATATCTTCAACTATGTCTCCATTCCAAATGATTCCTGATTCCTAAAGAGTGTTATTTCTCTGCACTCCAAATCTCGGAATTATAGAAGAATCTCTCTAAAGATAGCATAAGTCTTGTAGACTTGTTGTTTGTCTGTCTTAAACTACTCCAAATTTAACATGGAAGATCTTATCCAAAGCCAAATTCCCCATTCTCCCCAAACTCTGAATAGGTTAAAAATAGGAAAATCATCCTAAATTTATGGGTTCATCTATGTATGTCATTGGCATTTGATGTTTTGATAGAGCCCAATTATGACTTACATATTCCACAAAATGGCAGTAAATCAATTTCTTCTTTTAGGGGCGTGTGTGTGTGTGTGTGTGTGTGTGTATGTATGTATGTATGTAAAACATCTTTACTTGCTCATTTATCAGATTCTTAAACATTTTACATGTGTTAGTCACTATGCACAGACTCAGAGATAAAAACAAGTGAAATAAATAAATATAGTTTAAATAAAAACAGTCTGTTGACTCTTGGGCTGATAGCACTTATTATTCCTCTTAAAAGTAGACAGCACTATTAGTGCTAATATAATAGATCTTTTTTTCTAAAATCCTGCCTTCTTTGCAAACTACATGTTATCTGAAAGTTTAATATCCTATTTAAAATTATTTATATATTTTAAAATATATTCTATTTATTATTTTTTGTGTCTGTGAGCATATCACCTGCTTGTGTATAAGTGCACCCCTGTCATGCAATGCCCACAGAGGTCAGAAGGGAGTATCAGATCCCCTGGAACTGGAGTTACTGATGGTTGTTAGTTGCCATATGGGAGTTCGGAACCAAACTTGGGTCTTCTGAAAGAACATCCAGTGCTGTTAACTGCTGAACTATCTCTCCAGCCCCTCATATACTATTTTAAAACCTATAAATAAACAAAATACATCCTATTTTAAACAATTTCGTATAAGCTGATTATTACTGTTAAGTTTTGCACAATATTTTAATTAAAATCTTCCATCCTGCCTTTTTCATGATCAGTGTATAAGCTTTGACTGTGGAGACATGTTATAAATCACAGAAGACATGTGTGAAAGGAGCAGGTAAATGAGGTACTGAAGTATGCCTTGCTAGTTCCAGGTTGTGAAGGTTTGAATGAAAATGTCCCCCATAGGCTCCAAGTGTTTGGGTATTGTGTCCCCAGTTGGTGACACTGTTTTGGGAGGTCTTAGAAGGTGTGTCTATGCTGGAGGAAGTACCTCACTGGGGTAGGGGCTTGGAGAATCTCAAGTCCCTCTTTTTCCCTCTTTTGCTTCCTGTGCCTACTCGAAGATGCGAGAGCTTAACTTCCGCTCCTCCTCCAGCCCTCTCTGCTGCCATGCCTCTGAGCCACAATGGTATTGTGCCCCTTGGAACCATAAGCTCAAATAAACTCTTCCTTCTATAAGTTGCTTGGGTCAGTGTTTCTATCACAGCAACAGAAAAGTAACCAATACAGTAGTTGGTACCAGAGAGGGGCTGTTGGCTGTGAAGAACCTGACCATGAAGGGTTTTGGAAGACTGTGGAAGACTTTGGAAGTTTTAGGTAGAAAAGCAGTTGATTGCTATAAGCAGAGCTTAACACGCCATTCTAGTAGATGCCTGGAAGAAAGTAGTGCTGAGAACAATGTAGTTCTAAAGGGAAATAAGGACTTAAGCAACAGTTGGGATATTTTGGCAAAGAGTCTGTCTGGAGTCTGCCAATTGCCAGAAAGCTTGCCTGAGGCTAAGTTGAAAAGGAATGGGCTGATTTCTCTGGCAGAAGAAATTTCAAGACAGCATGACATGGAAATGGTGGCATGGCTATTGGTGACTATTATGCAGATCTACACTGAAAAGAGCAAATAGGGAAGAAAGAAATACAGAATGTACAGTTTGGATTTAAAAAGAGCACTAGGAAGATTAATGTCAGAGTGGAGGCATGTGCTGAAGGGGAAGATTCCTTTGATAAGTAGATTACAGTGATTAAGGAGAGGTCCAGACATTTGTACTTAATGAAGAGAGCGCCTCCCCCGCAAGACCACACCCAGCTAAGTCTCCAGTTTGTGAAAGGAAATGCTGCAAGGACCACTGAGGAGAAAAGCTTCTAAAATAGATAAAGCAGGCTGGGCTTTATCCAAACTTGCAGCCAAATTTCCAGTGTCATTCATATGGTTCTGGCTTTAGAGGCATGAAAGATGCAAGAGTGAAGAGGTCATCAGTTCTTCCTCCAAGGTTTCAGAGAGCTGATTTCAGGGAGCTGCCGAGGCCAGGCAGCCTGCAGCAGGGGTATCCCTGCTTAAAGAAGGCTCTGATAGGCCGTTTCACAAAGCTGTGAAGGTTAAGCCTGGTTAGCAGTGGAAACCCTAAGACATTCCTGATGCCAGAAGTGTGAGACATCTGCCAAGACGACCTGCATACCTGGAGTGGTGGTACCAGCCCATGTATGTTGCATGTAGCAAAGCTGAAGAAGTTGAGTCATCTAAGCCATTTGGAAGTAAAGTCCCAGAAGTCAGACATGGAGCTGCTAGATTTGGTTGTTGCTCTACTGATTTGGGGTCTTGTTTTGGCCCAGTTTCCCTTCACTATGCCTCTCTTCCTCCCTTTTGGAATGGTAATGTGTATTCAGTTCTGTATGTTGGGAGTATGTAATTTGTCTTTTGATTTTACAAGGGCTTACAGTTCAGAGATTTCCCTGAGTCTCAGAAGAGACTTTGTACTGTGGACTTTTGAGTAGTATTGAGACTGGTAATAACTATGGAAATTTTTTAAGGTTGGACTAAATGCATTTTGCATTTTATATGGTCATGAGCCTATGGAAGCTAGGGAGTGGAATGTGGTGGTTTGAATGAAAATGTCCCCCATAGCCTCCAAGTATTGGACATTTTTGTCTCCAATTGGTGGTACTGTTTTGGGAGGTTTTAGAAGGTGTGGCTGTCCTGGAGGAAACACCTCAGTGGAGGTGGGCTTAGAGAGTTCTTAAGCCTTGCAGGATCTCAAGTTGCTCTCTTGATTCCTGTGCCTGCTTGAAGATGTGAGAGCTTAGCCTCTGCTCTTCCCCCAGCCACCTCTGCCACCATGCCTCCCTGCCATGAAGGACTCATGCCCCTTTGGAACCATAAGCCCAAATAAACTATTGTATCTATAAGTTGCTTTGGTCAGTTTTTCTATCACAGCAACAGAAAAGTAATACACAGGTGAACAGGCAGATGGGCAAAACTTTGAGCTTGTTCTTAAGGAGTAGATATTGACATCTAGATCTTGCACTTTCCAGGTTCTGTGACCTTGAGTAAGTAACTTATTTTCTTCATTTGCACAGCAGAAATGATGTATGCTTTCTTTTTTGCTTATCAAATAAAATACAGTTTTAAAAGCTCTGTTCACGTGTGTGATGCTATTTCATTGTTTTAAACTGCTGAAATGTGTAACATCTAGTTTTACCCACACCCCAGGTTGATCTGATCGTGACCCTTGGAGGCCTTTCTGGGCGTTTTGACCAGATCATGGCGTCAGTGAATACCCTGTACCAAGCCACTCATATCACTCCTGTGCCAACCATAATAATCCAGGATGAGTCCCTCATCTGCCTTCTCCAGCCAGTGAGTACAAAGTAAACATCACCAAGACTTTGCTTCTACCAAACTATCATTCCTATACATGCAGGAAACCTTTGCCTGGATCATGTCTTTCAGTTGGGTGATGTTGACCATGTCTGTTACTTGCGAGTCTTTGCTTTTGTCCATTGCCCCACGTGGACAGCAAAAGGTAGTGAGGACTCAACAGTTTACTTTCTTTTTTTTTCAACCAGAGCAAAAGAAAATCATGTAACTTTTAATTATATTGGCTAGGAATGAAATTTAGCCCTTTGCATTTTGAGCAGCTGAACATGAATGGCACGTGAGAAGCCTCAACAGGGAAGCACAGACTTGGCCACACTTTCAGATGGGATGCTTGTGTTTGGGGAATGTTATCATTATAATTGGAAACTGGGTTTGATCTTCTTAAGCACTTACAAGGAAATCTTTAGCTTTTACTGTTCATAAGTGGCCTGCTCATTACCTGTATTTTCTCAAGTAAATTTCTAGTAATGATGCTACTCATTTCCAATGGTAAGAATCAAGAAAAGTTTCTACCACTGTCATGCATAGAATAGAGTTCTTGCTACAGAAACAAATTTTATATGATTGATTGGTGGGCTGCAGTTTAAGAAGTTATCTTGCATTAACATTTTTTAAAGAATAGTGGACCACTCTTTTTTGACTCTTGTACTGTGATATTTATAATTTTGCTTCTACCTCATCTGCTGTGTGCCATCTATACCATGTCTTCAGTGAAAATTGTTGTCTGGCTAATACAGTAGTTCTAACCTATGCTTGCTTTTGCTAATCAAGTGTTGCTTTTTGGTTGGTTTGTTTGGGTTTGGGTTTATTTTCATTGCCTAGCTCTGTTGTTTCCTGGAAACATGTGCAAGGCAAGAGCGGGAGAGTTTGGATTTCAAACTCCACACGGTACTTTTAAGTAATCAGTGAACAATCTCACAGCATTTGCTGCCTATCTGTTCTTGTATAATGGCAGTTGCGGATTAAAATTTAAGAGTAGTTACATTTGATTGTTAACCTCCAGTTCATGTCCATTGAAAAAGACGGTTATAAATCGTAATTGCATTAGTCAGTTTTCTGCCCTTATAACAAATATCTGAGGTAATCCGCTTTGAAAGAGAAAGGGTTACTGTGACTCATAGTCTTCAAGTTTCAGCCTGTGATTAGTTGGCTAGATTGCTTTGGATTTGCGGTTGACGTAGTGGTGGAGGCATGTGACAGAATACAACCAGTCCCCTCATGCCTGGAACACAGAAGGGAGAAAAGAAGGAACAGTTCCTGCAGTCACAGTCCCCTTCCAAGTCTCACTGTCATCTGAAGCCTCCTAGTAGACCCACCTCCGTAACTCCCCACTGCTTCCACAGTTCCACCCTGAGCTCCAGGCCTTTTCCATGTGGCCTTTTGGGGACAGTTAAGATCCTGTGTATAGATGAAAGTTTAGTAGATAAAAATAATGACAGAATAAACAATGTGGGAATCATGGAATCAGGAAAAGATCACTGGGGAACTCAAGTTTTCCACTCAGTTTTTTATTCAATTAATTCAACAATTATTTACTAAATGCCTACCATATAAGAAGCTCCATTTTTTAGCAATAAAGCAATTTCAAAAAGAAAAGAGCTTTGCTTTCATGGGCGTTTTACTGTGTACCTATTTCTTTCCACACTTTAAGACCGAGTGAAGATTTTCTGTAGGAAATGATGGGAAAGCCATTCAAGACAAGAGCTGCCAGTAAAGAAACAGGGAGGTAAGGGTGTATTAGGGAGTATAATTGGAATGTTAGCTGGGAAAAAAAGCACAAATGAAGAATGTGTATGATCTTATTTTTCTTCTTTTTTGTGGTCTTTGTCTTCACTGTAATTAGTTCACTGATTGGACTCCATCTCTAGACTGCTGTCTGTCTGTGCTTCTTGAGAACTTGCTCTCTGTTTTCAGATACTGGTCTATTACCCTCAGCTGAGTGTGTGTACAATTCTCCATCGTATCATGTGGTCTCAGAATTTCTCCTTCATAACCTTCGTGTTCAGTCTCTGGACTTCACTCTGCGTCCTCAGCACCTCTCATTTTTCTCCATTCCCTGCTTCAGTGGTGTCTGGCCACTCAGCCCCAGAGACTCTGAATCCTGTGCATTTCACGTTCTTATATGCTTGGCCTTTACTCACATTTTCACTCTTTCTTAAACCATACACATCAAACTTGTTTTATATTCTAGAATAATCCTCTATGTATAGTCTTGTGATATTATATTTTGTAACCTCAGTTTCTTCTGTGTTGTGTGATTTGGGGCCGTGACTTCACATCTCTGAAAACTTTCCCTGAGGGAATTATCTGAGGCATGGGTTAAAGCAAGCCCGAGGAAAGCTTACATTTGCTTTTGGCAAGCTGCAGAGTGGATGCCCCACCCATGTCGCGGGGGCATTAAGAATATATCTGAGACTTTTGGTTGCACCATCCATTGGTGTAATTCATGACTGTATCCCCTCTGAGAGTTTAATATTTGATATAAGATGCTCAGAGGAAACTTCCCTCTTCTCCGCCACTCATGAAAGGTTTGGTTGAACCATTTTCCCAGCATCCAATGGGAACCTTTATATTTTTCTTGATATATAGGCTCTCTGCTTTGTATACTGGTCTCCTTTTAGAATATGAGCTTTAGCTGAGGTTTGCTGATGGAGTAAGCACTGTCAAGATGAAAATTAGCTTTCATCTTCTTTTGAATTGAAGCTTAGTTTTTGGTCTCTATTGTTAACATTTTTGACAGATCTGATGAATTTTTAAAGATGTGTTTAGTTTTTTTCCAGTGTCTGTAGATACAGGTACACAGGTGGCACAGGTACAGTGGACTACATGATCTCTGTAAATCTGCTGTTATAATTAGCTCCACATCTGACAGACTTTCCTGAAGTTCGGGTGTTTTCTTGTTGAGGCAAAGGTTGGTGACGTTTGGGCAGCTTTTTCTCTTCTGTCTGTGAGACAACTAAAGCACTATGGAAGCAGAGGGGCCTCCTGGAGAGAACGCCAGGAGCTCAGGAACAGAAGCTGTGGGCCCAGGAAGAGCAGTCAGCATATGAACACAGAGTTCCACTTCTGGAAACTGGAAACTGTAGTCCTGAAACCTTTTGGGTCATGGCCCATGATTTATAGGAACATAACATAAATGTCTCATCCATTACTTATTAAAGTAGAAACGCAAGTTGTCCAAGTGTGTAGATGTGTTTCTGTGTGGTCCACATCCCCAAGCACAACGCCTGTATATTCTCTCTCTCTCTCTCTCTCTCTCTCTCTCTCTCTCTCTTTTGTCTTTTTGAGACAGGGTCTCCCTGTAGCCCCAACTATCCTGGAACTCACTATGTAGACAAGGCTGGTCTCGAACTCACATAATCCATCTGCCTCTGCCTCCCAAGTGCTGGGGTTAAAGGTGTGTGCCACCATGCCTGGCATAGTATATTTTCTTTTATGGTAATTTTAATTTTGTATCCTTTAAACAATTAGAAAATTGCTTTATCCTCAAAAAGTAATAATATGTAAGGCAGGCCAAAAGCCAATGTCAGATCACTCCCTCACCTTTGAAGGGGCTCAGCACTTCAATCTTTATTGTTGTAGTTAGGAGGAACTTTCTAGAGACCAGCTTCAGCCCTCTGCCTTTGTACAACAGACTTAGTAAAGAATCGCAAGAAAATTAGCAATATGTATACACAGGCCAGAATGGCAGTGGGAGCGAGAACTTGGAGCCTTGAGCGGTTCCACTTGACTTTCTGGGCACGAAGGTGGTTTGTGTGGCCATGAAATGTGACTGACCTAAGAAACGGGTTTAAAACTATGCCAGAACTGTTTCCCACAGATAGTTCAACATCCTAGGGATAAACTGGAGCGATTGAGGTAGAACTGATTTGGCAAGCTGTTTTCTTCATGTGACTTCATATAACATGGTACATGCAATATGTCCATTAGAGTGGGTGTGTATACTGGGTAATATGTATATTTGAGAGGAATATTGAAAACAGATGGTCCACAGAATACTTCATTGTCATTAGGAATTATAATCGTAATCAAAATAAGGAAAAAAAAACATTAAAAATTTAAAATTGAAACTGTTCAAATATTGTAGAATTAGGCTCAAGGTAATCAAGTCTGGTATTCCTTAGCATCAAACACTGACTTAAAACTGTTTAATTTTGTTTTTAAATTAATATTAACAGATCACTATCGGTTGTATGATAATTTTGATGTTTAAGAAAGCTCTCACCCTTCGTAACGGTACTTTAAGAAAAGCAAGGTATAATATGGTTACTGTGTAAAGGCTCTGACCCCACACTTGTTCCACTGCAGCACATGTCCTCTTCCATGGGGTTAGTGAACTAAGAAACAAATGACAAGCTCTTAAAACAAGTTATAGCCCATAAGCAAGTGATTATCCATAAGCAGTGTACACTGAGTGGCCCATTGGTTGTTTTATGTGTCTGAATGTGTGTATGTGGGAGGGGGGGGAGGGTTCACAGATACGCATTCATTTACTACATATGCATTTTATTCAAAATGTGTGTGTGATAATGATCATTGTTTGATGATGATACTGTTTCCTCTACAACCTTGTTTTCAAATAAAGGTATCTTAAGTGCATTGTTTGTTTTTGGCAGTGCTGGCATCAAACCCAGGACCTTGTACATGCTAGGCAAGATCCGTATCCCAGTATATTCTTGGGTACACTGTAAGAATAGATGTTACCTAGTTGCTATAGCACCAAATTAAGGAAAAATTACTTTGTGGATCTTTGTAAACAATAACAAAATCCAAATAGAGCAATAATCTTTATCATATAAACAGATTCAATGAAATTACCATTGACCTTTGCCAACATACATGGAAAATAATAAAATTCACTATCAATCTTAATTGCCATGAGTATTAAGTTCGGAAAAGTTGTCCTCTAGATTTTCCTTTGCAGTGATAGATTTCCTGACGTATGAGAGCTAACAAGAAGAATGAGTTCTATCACCACA